AGTGAAGTATAAGGTACAGCAGGCAGGGGTGGGTGATATGGCTCAAATATAATATTGTGATATTTAAGAGCATTCTGGCGATAACGATAAATTTTGTGATATAACAAAAAAAATAAATAAACAGAAATCATAGTTATTCATTTGACAAAATTAACTTAGCATGTTGCTTTGCAGTATTATATAAAAACGTTTAAAAACAACAAGGGTTAATTTTACTAAAATTACTTTATTTAGTAAAGTATTCAGTCTCCAAGTATAAAACTAAAAAATAAAAATGATCCTTCTTTTAGATTGAAAACATCTGCACAAATTATAGATCAACAAAATCCACCACAAACACTAAAGCGCAGGTAAAGTTTCCCAAAATAACAGAATAAAATGAAGCTTAAGATCTGTTGAGCATAAATGTAACATACAACTAAAAATACTTTGCCTTTAAATGAGCTATAACTTCCAGAACTTGACAAGGTGATCAGCTGACCCTGAAGCTTGTGGTGTTTCAGCTTCCTCTGTTCCTGCAGGAATGATTCATTTCTCTCATGCTCTGTCTTTGATCACCTGCCTCTGATCTTGGTCCATGGACTGTGGAACTTAGAGACACAGTTGAGCTGAGCGTGTTTGTACCGGCAGTTTAGAGCGGGGGAGACGCAGCCGAGGGCTGCGCCCGCACCGGCAGCTCAGCTCGGGGTGGGGGGAGGGAGTTGAGCTGTCTGTACCTGCAGTTTGACTGCCGAGCCGCACGTTGTTTGTTTTTAGCTTTTTAGCTAGCTAGTATTGCGCGCAACTAATTAGCGTTTCGCCGGTAATGACAGGTGGCGGGGGGGGGGGGGGGGGGGTGCAGTTTGGTTTGGTCGTTCGTCACGCTCGGTTCTGTTAACGGGGCGCCCTGACGTATTACATCATGAAATTAGCATATCATGATATGATTTATTTGTCTGGGCAAGCTTTATTACCGGTATTATCGTGAACGATATGATATGATCCAGCCCTAACAGCAAAGCCAAAATGTAATGTCCCATATGTGGATGCAGAGTCTCAGGAAGTTCCTGACAAAGACCAATGAAGACATGTTTCTGTTTTTAGTTTGCTACACCACCTTACAATCCAGATGTTTTTTTGTTTTATATTTTCATACCATTATCTTTCACTTGTTCTGAACCTTTGATGGACAATATACAGCAGTCCCTCACTACTTCGCGGTTTGTTTTTCGCAGATTCGCTATTATCGCGGTTTTTCAAAATAAGACTGGACATGATGCAATTGGTTGAGTGATGGATGAGCCATGGGTTTTTTATTTAAAATAAATTATCTTAAATTATTTTGCACCATGTGTGAAGCCCACAAGTGCAGGGCAAAGCTTTCTCCTGCAGCTGATCAGCTGATCTCCTTCTCTGTCGCACACATTTCTCCTGCTGCATCGGCTTTGTGAAGGGTTAACCCTTTACTGTCCAGATGCACTGATCGACTTTTGTCTTCCAACTTAAAATTCTAAGTATGTCACATTGTAAAATCGTCATAATCACAAAATATAAACGTGTTAAAAGTTATTTTTAAGTATTTAAGAACTTCTGTGTTCAGTTGTTTCAGTGTAATTGATCAAGAAGTACATTTTTGCTCCGTGCTGCATCAGCTGTGTGAATGGTTAACCCTTTGATGTCTTGCTGCGCTTCTCTTCTCTACAATTTAAATTTAAATACTGTAACATTTTAAATAAACAATCCATGCTGCAATTTTAAGGAGAGAGACTGGGAGTAACTGGTGATGAGTGAGTGTGATTGCAGCCTGGCACGTCATGACAAGTTTACTGAACTTGAACTACTGTATCCCTACTTCGCGGTTATTCACTTGGTGGACGTGGTCCCAAACATCCGCAATAAACGAGGGACTACTATATATATTTTCCTGCCACACCAGGGAACCCAGTATGGATGCTGCTACAGTCAAAACACCCTAAACTGTTTCCCATTCATTTCCTATGGTAGTGCTAAACCACTACAGATGTAATATATGTTTGACCACTACATCCTTGTGGTGCTGTCTGACAGCTGCTACAGTCAAAATCCATCATAAACGTTCTTGTTGGTTTGTGGTTATGTTGACGCAGACATGATCCATTTGTATTCTGGACCTTCAATTTCTCTCGGGGTCTCTGGCAGCTGCTGTCTTATCTCCAGCAGTCTGCGTGAGAGGTGGGGGACAACTGGACAAGTAGCCTGTCCATCACAGGGACACATCAGGACAAAAGAGACAACCATTCCCTCTCTCACTCACACCTAGGGACAATTTAGAGTTACCAATTAACCAACACGCATGTGTTTAGTTTGTGGGAGGAACCTGGAGAAAACCCACACATGCACGTAGAGAACATGCAAACTGAACACAGAACCTGTGCAACAGCTCCAACCACTGCTCCACTGTGATGCACTGCAGGCTTACATGATATAAAATATGAAAAAACCTTTAAACCAAGAAGAACAAAGATCTCAAAAACAACCAGTTGTCCATATCTGCGTTCGTAAGAGAGACTGAAATGTTCTGTTGGTCCTAACAGGAGGAAACCTGAAGTTTGGTAACTTTAGCCAAAAATGATGATACAGAAAACTATTAAAATAATATATCTTTTAAAAAACACTTTAAAAAAGGTATATTTTAAAACAAGGAGAGTAAAAATGAATGTCAAGCGCCACACTGTGTAAATATGGAGCTGCAGGAGAGTAGCACCATCTCCTGGACAAACTCTGTATTACAGTTTTATTTTTATTTCTCCAGCAACGACTCGAGCCTGAACATTCACGAGACTGGAAATCACTGAAGTTACTGGTGGGGGAAAAGCACGTGCTGTTATTGTGAGCATCACTCAGCCCTCTAAATAACAAGCGTCCATCAGGGCAGTGACACGTTCACGACCCGCACGTTTCTGTTCAGGTCATGAGAAACACAAGCAGCGAGACAAGATCAGCAGTTCTGATTTAAGAGCTTGAAGCTGGACCTGCCCGCTGAAGCACGAGGCTCCTAGTTTTAAGGCTTCGCCTAAAAATGGAGTGGGAAAAACAATAAAAACATAAAAAGACTTGTTGCATTGGCCGGGAATCGAACCCGGGCCTCCCGCGTGGCAGGCGAGAATTCTACCACTGAACCACCAATGCTGCTGTAAGCAGACTGCCCTAAACCGTTTCCCATTCATTTCTATGGCAGTGCAAAACCACTACGGATTTAATATATGTTTGACCACTATACCCTTGTGGCGCTGAATAGTTTTAGATGCAGCCCACACATTCATACTGGGTTCCCTGGTGTTCCAGGAAAATATTGTCCATCAAAGGTTCTGTCCATTTATCAGTCACAGGGTAAGGTCAGGGAGAGTTGGAAGGAGTTCTCCAAATCTCCTTATTAAGAGGCAGAGAAACAGATGGGTGGCTGAGAGAGAACAATAAACCTCATATAGTTCTATTGAGATGTTTAGTTATTTGATTATTATTATTTTTATTCTGTGCCTTCAGATATTTATACAAATAAAAAAATCTGAAAATACTGTAAATATGGGAAGTTAGCATATGTAAATATTTCACAGAATTCACAGAAAGAAAACATGTTATAACAAGGACACACAGTCTTTTGGTATTTTATTTATCTATACCAGTGGTACCCAACCATGGTCCCTGAGGGACACCATCCTGCATGTTTCAGTTATTTCCTGCTCCAACACGCCTGATTCAGAGATTTAATGACTTCCTCAACTTCTGCAGAGGCCTGTTAATCACCCATTCATTCAAATCAAATGTCAAAGCAGAGAAACAAGTAAAACATGCAGGACGGTGTTCCTCAAGGACCACTGTTGGGAACCACTGATCTATAACATGCATGTATTTTCAGGAAAGTCCTGAATATTTTCATATTGTTTATGGTGGAAAACCTGTAATTCATTCCAATTTTTGTACACAAAACACAATTTAGGACGGTTAAAATGAATTTTAAAGAGAAAAGAGGAAAAAAGACAAAGGGAGGGGTCAGTGAAGAATACCGAGTTGAGACTTTTGTCATCCAGTGTCTTCAGCAGAAGGACAGAGACGAAGAAACGATAAAGCTGATAAATGAAAATTAGCTTAATAATTTTCATTTATCATGCGATTAATTGATTTATTGCTTATCGTGACAGGCCTATGCACAACTCGCCCCAGCCATAAAACATCTTATATATAGCAGTAGCTTGATTTTTTAAAAAAGATTTATTGTATATATTATTTATTTACTAGAATATAAACATTAAAAATAATAAGGGTTAGGGTAAAGTGTTTTTTTTTTTTTTATCTGCCAGGACCGGGACTCAAACCCACGTCCTGATAGCATGTCCTGTTTTGCAAGAGATTACAGCTACACACAACTGGTGCGAGTTTAAGCTTCAGCACATTCACAATCGCACTGCAGGACGTGCTCATACTGTATATTTATGTGATCGTAAAAATGCAACTTCAATCTAACTCCAGTGAACCAGTCACAGTTCTGAGAAGACCCGCACAGAAGACGTGATGTCACAGGCAGCATGTTGCGTTTAAGTAAATATGGCTGCTACAGATGTTAAGATTAGGATTTATGTACCACGTCTGAATACACCGTACGATCAGAACAAGTTAAGAAAAATGCTACTTATCCCTAACAACAGCTCCTCGTTAGTATAGTGGTGAGTATCCCCGCCTGTCACGCGGGAGACCGGGGTTCAATTCCCCGACGGGGAGTGAGTTCAACCTTTTTTTTTTTCCCACAGCTGTTTTTGAAATCTAGCAGATTAAATATACATCGCTGTATTTCTTCAGCAGCTCGTTGCTCATTTACCAATTTTGAGTAAGTGCTGTTACAAAGAAACTATAAATGATATGATCCGATTTCAAAAGTCGATGCATTGGCCGGGAATCGAACCCGGGCCTCCCGCGTGGCAGGCGAGAATTCTACCACTGAACCACCAATGCTACATATGAATGAGTCATCGATGAGATAAATTTACATGTACCGTCTTGTCGTCTTCCTCAACAGTTGGGAGGTTGTCCAGCAGCTGTTTTCTCTCCTCGTCTGTGTGTGAAAGGGGCAGGAAGCTTTGGAGCAGATAACCAAGCAGCTGGGGCTTGAACCACTGGCCACAGACGGGTTTGGGCTTCTCGGGCGTTCGTGACAAGCCGGACAAAGACTGCTCTGCGGAAATCCCCACCTGGACACGAAGACTTATTAGCAGTTCAATTGTTGTTTTTATTTGTAGGTTAAAGTAGTTCTTATGTACCTGCTCCAGCATGCAGTGCAGGAGCAGAGGCACGGAGCAGGCTTCAGGAGGGACCAGGTCCAGCAGACTGTTGTAGTGACCCATGTCCACATGGACAGAGACAGGAGACAGCTGGGTCCCTGAGCACAGGAAGTCAAATCCACAAGTTTGATCTAATTAGTCTTCAGGTGAAAACATAAACAATCAAAACTAAAGAAATGCATTTCCTGCAAAAATGCAGTGTGAATGTTTATTGCTGAGGAACTTGCTGAAAAGCAGCTGAAATGAGCTAAAAACATGCTGAAATTTAGCTGAAATGGAAGAGCAAGCCTAAGTTAGTAGAAGAAAGCAGAAAGAACATATATTTAGGTTTAAATAGGCAAAAATGAGCCATGAAAATAAGGAAACTAGCTAAAAAAAAGGGCTGAAATTAGCAACAAAAATATAGCTGAAAAGGCAGAAAGAAGCTTAAACTAGCAGAAGGAAGTGGAAGGAGCTAAAAAAAATGGAATTAGTTAAAAAAGCTCAATTTAGCACAAAAAACAGCTAAAAAGTAGCTGAAATAGCAGAAAATTGGGAACTAGTAGAAATCAGCTGAAAGGAGCATAAAAAGCTGAAATTATCAGAAAGAAGTTAATTTGGCTGAAAGTAACAGAAATTACCACAAAACACTTGAATGTATCTGAAGACAGCAGAAATGAGCTAAAAATGCTTTAAAAAGTAGCTGAAAAAGTAGAACAAGCCTAAATGAGCAGAAAAAAGAACGTTTGCTAAAAGAAGCAGAATGAGCACAAAAAGTGGAAATTATCTGAAAAAAGATGACATTAGCAAAAAACCTGCTGAAAAGTATTTAAAAAAACAGAAAGAAGCTGAAATTGCAAGACGGAGGTGGAAGGAGAGAGCACCTTTCTGCTGAATTAGGCTGAAAAACGTTAATTTAAATGAGTTGTAAACAGACCTAAAGATTTGAAGGATGGCAATGAGCTCAATTCATTTTCAGTGATTAAAGAAAGTAGCCAAAAAGTCTAAATATTTCAAAAAGCTAAAGTTGCACCAAAACTAAAAGTCATATCAGGATTGTCCTGATAGAGCTGAACATCTGGATTTAAGATTTGTTGCAATAGCTTGAAAACTGCGGGACGAGAAAGATGCTGAAAGACGTATGATAAGGAGAGGGTTGACCTTGTTCTGGTGGGACTTGTTCCTGAACGGACTTCTTTTTAGAGCGTGGGGTCAGAGGAACCGCCGGTACCACCTGGTCCAAAAAAAAAGCACAAAGTAGGATTAGATTAAACTCATTTGCTTGTCGCCCGCCGCCTGTCATGCTTAAGTTTCAGACTCGCATCATCTTATGAAACAACAGCGGTGTAGCTGTTTGGTCCAACCCTGAAAAATAAAAAACCGTCGTGCTCAGAGAACGTGTTGTAAATGACTCTCAGCTACTACCACAGCAAGTTTTAGCTCAATATTTGTCGAACTGACTGAGTAGAGGTTGTTTATGTGTTGGCCGACAGCGATCAGATGTGGCAGCCATCTTGAATCGACTCCAAAAAAAACGAAAGCAGCTGCAGACGCGCATCTAATGATTACTTCATGCACGTTTCCATAAAGTGCGTCCACGGGTTCACGAGATATTCAACGAACAGACCACGCACGGGTAATCTCATTATCCCCTGCCTTCGAGGGTGATAAAAATGTAGGCATTGTTTTTTGTTTTGGGGGGGTTGTCAGTGTAGATGAATAAAAACGGCGCTCTCTTCCCCACATGGAGCTGCTCTGTGAGCTCCAGCTAACAACAGCCTCCCCTCCCCCACTCCTGAGATGATTAAAGGTGGTCTGAGTCGTTGTTGCAACATATAGCAGAGTGGCGCAGCGGAAGCGTGCTGGGCCCATAACCCAGAGGTCGATGGATCGAAACCATCCTCTGCTATGAACAAAATTTTTAACATCTGTTTATCTAAACCTCATTGATTTAAAGAGCCAAAGTAAAGAAAGCGAGATCAAACACGTTTATTTTGTTTACAACAAGCACATGCATACTGTTGTCTACTGTTGTCATCATTCTTAGTTGTTTGTTTTTTTTATTATATCTTGTGCTGGTGAGGACATTTATTTATTTATTTTTGTACTGAACGTTTTTGAAGTCTCTCTTGTAAATGAGTCCCCGAGGCTCTTTAACACTAACCTGTATAAAGGTTGAATGAATATTTGTCAAAACTTGTAAATTATGCAAAGATCTATTAGTTAGGATTTTAATTTGTATATAAATGTCAACAGACAAAAACGTGAAAACAGAAAGCCCGTCACCTTTCAGCTCTTTAATTCAAAACAAGTTGCCGGGAGAACGGAGAAGGACCAGCTTTCACATTAGCTCAACAGCTAACTTGCATGACGTCAGCTAAAGAGCTAACGCGCTGAACTTGACCGGATATTAATTCAACTCGGTCCAAATAAATAAATAAATATCAACCTGTCAGTTCGTATTTTAGTCTTCTTATAGTTACTACTCTGCGCTGTGTTTAATGTTGACCAGAAGACGAACTGAACCGAATGCTGTTAAATCTGCATAAACAAAATATGGTCGCAAATAATCATGGGCTCGTTATAAACTACGTCACAGCTCGTGTCCGTCCTCTTACAGAATGGAAAACTACAATACACCAATATAATATGATAATTAAAAAAAAAAAAGTACAGTATAATAAAAATATGTACTGGTATTTAACAAAATAAGTACTGGCCAGAATCATGGGCGCATCACAGCGGATACAGCACCTTACGAGGCATTAGCATTAGCACCAAGCTAGCGGATATTTTCTGGTGCGTAGTGGTCAAATAAATTGATATGAACGCAAAAAATGTACAACATGAATCTTATCATTGTCCTGACTGACATAAGTACATCTTACTGTTAGTCAGTGATCACATAATGGACAATGATCAGCAATATCTTTTACCACAGCGCTAATATTACCGAACTCACCTCGCGCGCATCGTCTCAGAGTGGAAATATCTGCGCGCGCACTGCACTTCCTACAACCAGCCACCGAGAGGGGGCGCTGTTTCACCCTTCACATAAGACCCAAATGAAAAGTAATGACAAGTGGAACCACGTTGCCCCTGTTACACATAAGTTATTGTACATAAGGACTGTGACAAAATAAAACTTCATGACCTTGTATTTTAGTCTCCACTACTATCAAGCTCTGACATGTTTGTTGAACCCCAGGGTGCAAAGAGACTCCGAGGAACTTGAGGGTAAAAATAAAGAGAACAAAAACTCGAAAGAAAAGCTGACGAGGCAAAAATGAATATTAAAAAAAAAAAAACAATAGGATGGGAAGACACGGAGGAAACGGAGCATGATGCTGGGAAGCACAATCTGACAAAATGACAGGACTTGCGACCTGTCCAGTGTGTCCCCCACCTCTCGCACAGTGATAGCTGGACATGGGCAGTGACCCCCGCACCCGAAAAGGAAGAAGCAGGTAGAAGATAATGGATGGATTTTATGTAAAGACACACTAACTTTGGACAATGGCATACACCTGGGGAAAGACAATGAGGAACAGGTGATGGTGGGAGGAGCAGGAGGTGACTACAAGAGTGGAAAAATACTGGGGAAGTTAAAAACACAAGTGAAAGACACTCAGAGAAAACTAAATACAATAATCACAAGACGACAAAAATACCACAGTACACAACAATCCTGACAGGGATGTCAAGGGACGTCTACCTAACTTGGGTGTAACAATGGATGGAGGGCGCAAAGAAAACAAGAAAAGCATGGGGAACTAAAACAGTCAACACAAGAAAAAAAGAGTTCAGGTGGATGGATAATGAGTGAGAGACATCCTCCTGGACCCTCTCGAAGACGATGAGACCACAGAGGCTGCAGCAGACATTGAGACCAGTGGAGCTGCAGTAGATGTTAAGACCGGTGGAGCTACAACAGACGACAATGAACCAGAGAAGAGAGCTGCGGCAGTCATATAATAAGTCAGAGATCCCTTTAAAAACCTGGATTGTGCTGTCATAATCTTATAATTTTTTTTTTCCTGGAACCCTTCCAAACAAACCATACTTGCTCAGTCTTTTCCCAATGGTCATGAGCTTTAACCTTTAACACGGTAACTGAGGCATGTAAAGTCTGAGAAGCTATTGGGATTTTTGTGATTTCTTTGAACATTACGTAGCCTGACCTTGGGGTGAATTTGTTCAGATGTCCACTCCTGGGAAGACTGGCGGGGTTCTTAAATGTTTACCTATCTATGAAAGACCTGTAAAATGATTAAATGAGTTATTTGGAAATGGCCTAATGATCTTGATAACCTCTGATAGGTGAGCAGCAACTTTTCACTAAAACCTGTGGAAGCAGAAACAGATTTGGTTTTTCATAAAGCTCTTACATTTCTGCCTCTTTTTGTTAAATAAATAACACAACGGAATTTATTGCTTGGTTTTTATACCCTCGTATGAAAGATGGTGACCTCTCTTTATCTCATGACTATATACCTGTACGGGCTGTGAGTCCAGTCCATCTACAGAAGGTACTGTGAGGAGTTTGACATTGTCACAATAGTGCTGATGCTGCCTGCGCCAGTCCAGACAGTCGTAGATGAGATTGGCCACGCCCTCAAAGATTTGGCTTCCCAGCTCCAGCTGTAAACATTAACACAGGAATTAAATAAAAAGGAAAATCAGCACAGAGACACAAACAAAACTAGCTGGAATAACAGCAGGAAAAGTGATCAGTTAAAAGAAGATTCATCCATCGGGCCCCTATCACCTTTGCCTCGGGGTCTTGCGTTTGGAGAGACAGTGTGAGATCTTGGACGGTGTAGCTGAGCAGAACCGCATCGTAGAGCTTGGAGTCTGGAGGCCCATTGTAAAGAACTGGTCTCAGATTTGTCCAGAACTGATCAAGCCTCTTTGCCTTTAAAGAAAGCTCTAAACACCAAATAGAAGCACAACATCAAAAACATGAGATCTGTTCAGGAGTTCTGAGTAAAGGTCCATCTGGTGTGTAGAGTCTTAACCTGCACCCAGACCTGGAGAAGTTTTCGGGCTCGGACCATCGTCCTCACAGCCGCTGAGTTCCTGCTTCTCCACGAAAACTTGTGTCTGCTCTGAGCATAATTTGATGACATTGGCTACATGTACACCAATGGCGTTGAGCATCCAAACCAGCTGTGGCTGGAAGAAGCCCACCAACAGGATGTAGTGTTGAGGACCGTGCTCTGGCTCATCATCTGATGAGGCAAACAAAAGCTTTTGTATCAGGACGCATCCACATATATTTGATGAGAAGAGATGGAGGCCTAAGAAGAAGCCGTGTGGTACACCACAATTAAGAGAGGGCTATAGTTCTTAGTTCTTATAGTCCTTAAACGAAACGTTGTTTATAGAAAAAACTAAAATATACTAATTTTGGAGGAAAAGGAGTTCTAAATTGCTGTAGTTCCAAAATATATAAAGCATCGCAAAACTTTTATACCTTAATTAAAGAAAAACATTCACTTCCTTTGGTTTGTTGGATCTGTAATGTTTTTCTGGACCTTGGAAAGTTAATTTTAGTCCATTCTCTGGAACAAACGTGTAACTTTTGTCTTTTCTCTGAGCATTACACGGCCTGACCTTGGGGTGAATTTGCTCAGACTCCTGGGAAGATAGGCTGGATTAGCCACTGTTTTCTTCAAAAACACTGTTTTCTTCAAAAACAATGGCTAAAAAGGAGTCGTGTGACGTGGCGTTAGGAAATGTGGATAAAAACTGTAATCAACTCGCAGTTCAAACCCCACCTCTTAAAAAAATCTTCTAGACCCACACTATCAGGGAGGGCCTGTTCAACAAGGATGGTTCAGACAAATCTTTGTTCTTGTAAGAAAACAGAGATTTTATTTTAATTAGATTAATCACATTTGGGTTAAAATGTCTTAAACTGCAGTGATTTAAGATTTACCGTCATAACTTGGGCATGCAGCAAATAATAAAAGAGAAACAGATCTTTTACTTTTGGTTGTAACTTGTAAGCAAATTTAATAAAATGGTTCTAGTTGTTCTGGACCTTTGACCTTATCTAGAAACCAAATCTGGATCTTCGGCTATAAAGTTTGAGAACGCCTAACCTGGCAGATTAAAGTAATAAGTATAAAGCTACTTTAATGAACATAAAAAAAGCATTTTTACCAATAAACGTCGGTGGCTCAACATGATTCCTGGATTTGAGTTTTGTTTTCTTCTCCTTGGCTTCTGGATCTGAAGATGAACCCTTTGCTTTTTTGGCAGAACCCTTGGCACTGCTGTCAGAAGGACGGACGACTTTTTCTGCTTGTCTCTCAGTCTTCAGCTGAAATGTACAAGAAAACATAAAAAAAAATCCTCTGGTGAGCGTTCAGAAAGAGATCCAATCAGTCTTAACTAGTGTTGTAAAGTAAAAACCTGACCGCAGGTAAACATTCAAAAAATAGATTTTTAACCTTTGAGGTCTCATTGGGGAAAAATAAATCAGTCACACATTTATATTTGTTTTTTGAGGTTTTTATTTTTTGTCAATAAACGCAATTGTTCCTGACAAAGCCTAATGATATTTTAAAATGTGTTTATTTTGTCAGAATTGTTTTAAATACTCCAGTCACCTCTTAGCAACAATACTGCCCCCTAGTGTTCATTAAAGGGAAATCGACTCCTTTACAAAGTCCTTTATAAATGAATTCTGATCTCACATTTATCACATCATAAAATAATACCTTCCTTTCAGCAATGTTTTATGTTTTATATTTGTCTCTGATTTTTATTTTAGTTCAGAACGTGATAAGTAACTTAAAAGTCCTAATCTAAAAGTATTCTCTCAATTTAGTAAAATTCAAAAAATACAAATGCAAATAATGAAATGTGGATTTTTTACTTTTTTTTTTTTTCAAATTAAAAGCCCTTAATGAGTAAAAAAAAGACCATTAAAATTGGATATTTTTTATTTCAGGCTGAGGTAGCTCTAAGGTAGTTGAAGTTTCCTCCTTTTTTCTGTCATAACATTAAAAGACCTTCTGAGGAGCGTACTCAGAACCACTCGCCTGTTCTGCCTCCCTCCTTTGCTGATCGCTGGTTTTGATCTGCAGCAGCTGGAACTTCAGGAGTTTGGCCATCAGGTCACTGGGAATCTCCTCCCCTGCATCCAGCAGCACTTTAGCAGACTCTGTAACCTACAGGAGACACACAATCAGGAAATTATGTCAAAATAAACAAAAACACTGAAACAAAAAAAAAAACATTTTATGAAAAGAAATGATCTTTACCTCACAGAACATGGGAGGATTGTTGGGTTTTTTGGCTTTAGGATTCCCCAGTTCATGGATCTGAATTAAAAATTAAAAAAAGAAGCTTTTATCAGACAAAAATAAAGCTCAACATTAAAAACCACTAGGGCAAGTGCAAGAAAATACTAATGACTGATTTAAAAAACATAAATTATTGTCAGAGGTTTTATTTATAGCCAGTCAATCATCTTTTATGTTGTTTGTGACTTGTTAAATGTCATATTTAATATATGCACTAAAACCAGCTACAAAGAGGAGTAACGATTTTCAGTTTGCGTGGATTGAACCCATGAAAGTGTCTGCAGGTACCTTAGTCAGGGCGCTGTCCCAGGATAGTACGGTGAAACGTCGACGCTGTGGTTTCTGAACAGCTAAAACCAGAGGGCCGAGGAGTCGTTCTTCCTCCTCTGGACTTCTCCCAACCAGCAGGGAGACACACGCCTGCCATGAGTCCTGGGGTGGGGGTGAAAAGTGGAATAATTAGTTCAGTTAATTAAACCGCGCCCGTTAGGTGGGACTTCTTTTAAAAGTGGAGACCCAGAAGTGAACACTTGAAGAACGCTGCTTCTTTTATAGACGACCTTTATGTGACACAGACGTCAGATGGAGACGGAACAATGGGGGGGGGGGGGGGGGGGGTTCGTCTGATCACATCGATCAGCCACTGACTGACACTGCTAATGAGAGCAGAGGTCAACCTGCTCCTCTGCTGCTCACAAAACTGGTCTGCAGGCTCTGACCCACTTCAAGATGGGCCCAGTGTATCCATACGGAGGATTTATGCTTATGAGTTGGTGCGAGACAGGAAGTAGGAGTATGTGTGTTCAAGCTGTGCAGATTATAAAAAGTTTATGCACAGCAGAGCTGGAGACTATCTGGGGGACTTTTTGAGGCTTTTTGTTTTTGGGCTTGCACGTCATTGTGGCCCCGGGGCAACGGGAGGGTTAAAGGACCAGCATTTATCTTGGTTACATTTCGTCTTTCAGTCTTTTAATTTGAGGCTCAAGTTCAAGTCTCGGACCTGAGACCTCCAAAAATCTAAATGACCCCAACAGATTCTGGAAAACCATCCAATCTCTCTCAGGCAGCCTCCAATCATCTGACCTCCCATCACAACTTCTCATTAACTCTGTTCCTGTGTCAAATAAGCACGAGATCCTGAACTGTCTCAACAAACATTTTGTTGCTTCTAGTTCTTTATTTGACACAGTTACTAATGGAAAATCAGCCACTTCACCAATTCATGGCAGGCACCTATTATTCTATTATTCTATTATTCTACACCTCGGAAGTGAGTCTACATTTCTATCTCCGTTAATGCGGCCCGAACCATAATGTCTACCCCAACAAAAATTGTATCAAAACGACCAGCTCGACCCCGTGATAAGTGCTATTACTTTTGTTGGCATTTCGAGTTACCATGGCGACGTAATTTGCAAACAAAGATGCCAAATTTCACCCACTCCAGGAACTAGTTTGTGACTGCCCAGTTATTATTCTACACCTAATAAGCGTATTCAACTTTAATGCGGCCCGAACCACAACGTGGACCACCACAAAATTATATGAAAACGAACGGCCCGGCTCCGGGAAGTGTGCAATGGCGACATATTTAGCTAACAAAAATGCCAAATTTCCCACAGGAAATGAATAGGAGAAAACTCTTCATAGAAACTGAGTAACATATGGAGCCATTTTGGTTCAACATGCAAAGAAGGCTGTGCATTATGCAATTCATGGAAGGCACCTATTATTACTAATTAATAATAATAGGTGATAATAGGTAATAGTAATTAATTATGTTAATAATTACCTATTTTAATATCAATAAGTAATATTTAATTATAATACTAATTATTTGCATGAATATTATTAATAGTGATTATCAATTATTAATATTTAATGATAATTAATAAACTAACAATATATTAATAATTATTAATATTAATAAGTATACATTATTAATAATCATTCATATTAATATTAATAATCATTAATATTAATAGTTATTATTAATAATAATGTAATAATAAATAGGCAGTCCCCGTCAAAGTTTCTCCAGGAACTTTCTTGTCATTGTTACTCACTCAACCAGGTCTCTCTTGTAAATGAGTCCTCGAGGCTCAGTGGGATTAACCTGTCTAAATAAAGGTTGAATTCAAAAAAGTTCAAGACAAAAACAACTGGACTTTATTTGTAACAGAAGCCGTTTCGCTTCCTCTACTTTTTCTTTGGGAACAAAACGTGATTTCATGAAAATACACGTCAACGCAGCACAACTTCCGGTTTGTGCTGCTATCTCTTTCAAAACAAAAGCCGCATAACACCAACCGTTTTCGCGTCACAATTAATTTTATTTACTTGTTCGGTTTTTTTTTTTGTTTCTTACTATTGTCCTTCATGTCTCTGTATAAAGTGTCCCGTGGAGATTTTTGTATAAAACGCAACACAAACAAAATGACGCATTTTTAAAAAAAAGAAAAAGCACGACTTCCGGTTAGTACATTTAACCTTTTCCAAATAAAAGCCCGAACAGCTTACCGTTTATCAGTCTTTAATTTAAAAAAAAAATCTTAATTTTATTAACTCGTTTGGAAGTTGTTGTTTTTTTTAAACTTCTGATTTTCGGCTCTACGCATAAACTGTACGGAGGAGACTTTAATAGTGAAAAGTCTCGGTACAAATGTATTTATTTAACGGGCAGGCTAACTGCTAAAACTGTTAGCTTAAAAAATAACGATCTAAGACAAAACAGCCGCTAAATTAACAAAAGTAGAAAACAACAGTTAAAGAAGAAGCAGATGGAACGACAAACCTCCTCAAACTGTGCTTTGACCAGACCAGCCTCCCAGTTCTTGTTCACAGACGCCGCAGGTCCAGCGGGCTTTTTATCGGAACCTTTTTTACCTGCTGGCGGCATTTATTTATTTTTAGGGATGGTAAAATAATATATATATTGCTACAATAACCGACCAACTCCGAGGCTAAAAGTTAAAGTTAAGCCAAGACAACCTTTTATTTTTAGTATGTTTGTTTGGGTTGCCCTTAGCAACCAGGTCACAGGAAGTCAACCGACCTTCACAATAAAAGCATTCTTTTGTAGTAGCAAAAAAAATAAATAAAATAAACTAAATCAGAAATTATACCGAGTGCGCTCACTATATACTATATTATCTTCTAAAGGGGCAAAACAAAACAAAACAAAAATATAGTTTAATGTTCTAGTTCTTTGTATGTCCACTAGATGGCAGCAGAATGCTTGAGAGTCCTCTTTATAAGGCCTTGACCCCCCTGCTGCCCTTGGGTCAAAACCTCTGTTTTAAAACAAACATGGCACGTGATAAAACTAGTGACTCATCACCTTTTAATAAGGGCTTAAATAGTAAATATTGTCACCTAATAATTAGAAAATAGCTGCGCATACGCTCACAGGAACACTAATTGTTCTTAAACTATAGTTGTGAGCAGTTTTCCTGCTCAGTCCAGTCTTTAAATCTTACAAAGCTGTGTCCAATATCATGACTGATTAAAAAAAAGAAGAAGAGGGATTCATTTAACGTAGAAACAAGAATAAAAAAAACATCTCTGAAGCATCTTTCTGTAAATCTTAAGACTAAAATCTTGTTTGAAGCATATTTCAGACAACATGGACTTGTTGTGTATTATATAAAGAAAACGAGTGATTTGAATGCTAATTAAAATAACACTCAAGTGGAATGCATCTAAAGACAGCATGATGAAAAATGAATGATAATGAAGAGAGAAATGTAAAAAAGGTTTTGCGGATGCCTCACTACACCCACACACACTTAACCAGCACGACGAGCCGCAGTGATTCTCAAAACCATCATTAGGGTTCTTTTTATTGTGTGCAGCTCTAATGTAGCTCCTAAATACTAATGTTCCCAATTAGTGTCATATTAAACCATTAAACTGTTGTTTATATTTGTTATTTCTTTTGCAAAACTCAATAAAACGTTAAAAAAACCTACGATTCAGACTAAAACAAACCATGTTTGAGCACTTCCTGTAAGCAGAGAGGGTTTTATTTTGGCTAATTAATCTTTGGCCACTCCAATCATTTGAGGCAAACTTTTGAGCAATAAAAGAACAACAAGTCATTTCCATCTTCTATCACATATCCGTAGTCGGGGTGAGGAGGGAACAGGTCCAGGAGAGAAACCGTCATCCTTCTCCTCTGTGAGACTCTCCAGCTCCTCCTGGGAGACCCCGAGATGTTGCCAGGTCAGAGAAGATACCCGATCCCTGCAGCGAGTTCTGGGTTTTCCCCAGGGCCTCAGTGGAACGTGCCTGGAAAACCTCTAAAAGGAGGTGTCCAGGAGGCATCCTTATCAGATGCCTGAACCACCTCAACTGACTCCTTTCGATGTGGAGGAGCAGCAGCTCTACTCCGAGCTCCCCCCGGATGGACAGAGCTCCTCACCCCCTCTCTAAGGTTGAGCCTTGTCACTCTACGAATGAAGCTCATTTCAGCTGCTTGCATCCAAGAGCTTGTTCTTTTGGTCGTGATCCAGTAGGTGAGGGTTGGGACGTAGACAGACCAGTAAATCGAGAGCTCTACCTTTCCATTCAGAACTTTCTTCACCACGGCCGACCGAAGCAACGCCCTCATTACCGTCGATCCATCTCTCGCTTAAAATGAATTGTTACAATTGAATAGTTTTCATTTGATTCTATTTCTATCTTAACATGTGATTCTTGACCTGCCATTGTGTATCTGTTCCTCCTTCCTGTTCCTACCAAACCCAGCCGGTCGAACTGCTTGTCCTGAGCCTGGTTCTCCTCATGAGGGAGTTTTTTCTTTCCACCGTTGCCTTTAATCTTGCCCAAGATGAGAATCTGTGATGGAGTTATCAAATCAAAGCAAAGCTCCTCAAATAAACACTGTTCAATTATTACTTTTATATATTAATGTTTCTGTTCAGTGCCCTGAGATAACTTCTGTTGTAATTTGGCGCTATATAAATAAACTGAATTGAAACTGAACTGAATTCTCGTTTATTTCTGCACCCAAGTCTCGTTTGGACCAAAAATCCATCCAGTACCCTTCAAACAGTTTTATGTCCGTAAAGGGACATCGCAGTGAAGGTGTTTCATTTCATCCCCACAACAGCCTCCTTCCTGCAGCAGAGGGACAACACCCAGCTGTCAGATGCCAGAGAGATCCACGTTTGGAGCCGGCGGGTCATCCGTCATGAGGCGCTGCCAGCAGTAACAGCTTCCAGAGGCAGCGGCCCACAAAGGTCACAGAGCAGCGACGCAAACACTGGAGCGAGCTGCAAACGGCACGGCAACATCTCCAAACATCCACTTTTTCTTTGTTTTGTTAGAGAGACTCAGTTAAACCGTCCCATCATGTGGCAGTCGAGGATATGATTTCACTCACTTTATTAAAGATGCAGTCCATGCTTAAAGCCATGCATCCTGCTTAATAAAATCTGATCAGAGCAGGAGGTGCTGCTCGGCTTCGACCTCGAGCCGAAACTGAATGCATTTGTGCTGCCAGGAGATCACAAACTGTTGACAGGAGGAGGAACACGCTGAACTTAAGAACGAGGAGGGAAAAGGAACAAATCTGGCTCAGAAGCTGAAATCCAGATGAAAAAGTCAAAACAAAACAAAAGCTAATTTTAGCTAAATCGCAGCTAAAAGCTAAAATAAGCTAAACAGTAAGAAAACAATTAGAAAGTTCTTGGAGAAACTTTGACGGTTGTTGATAGTAAAAGTGTTTGGGTTCGCTCGCACTATCACTCTTTAAAATTTCAGCTGAATAGCTTTAAAAATGGCTGAGTTATAGTCATTTTTGTGTTTGCCGAGGTAGCCGTGGCAGCCATCTTGGATCAAAATGGCTCCAAAACTTAATCAGTTCTAGACATTTAATTGATGATTACTTTCTGTGAGTTTCAAACAGTTTCTGTTTTCATCAGGAACCTGTTTGTTCACTCTGTCATGTGACTTGACAGCAGCAGTTAGTGTGAGAAGTGTTCTCTCATTCATTTCCTATGAAGAATGTAGGCGTCTTTGTTAGCAAAATATGTCACCATGGTAACTCCGATTGCCAATAAAAGTAATTGCAAACATCACAGGGCTGAGCCGGTCGTTTTGATATAACATTTGTGGGGGTACACATTGTGGTTCGGGCCGCATTAAAGTTGAGAGAAGAGTAAGTTAACTGACACTCAGGAGAGTCGACTCAAGACTGCTTATTTATTGTAAAATTATTATTAATAATAAATATTTATATGAATATTTATAATTATTAATAATCAATGTTAATAATATTCATTAATGGTTCATTCTCATATACATTAATTTACATTAAACATTATGTTAATAATTATGATTACTAATTAATAATAATAATAGGTGCCTTCCATGAATTGCATAATGCACTGCCTTCCTTGCATGTTGAACCAAAATGGCTCCATACGTTACTCAGTTTCTGTGAAGAGTTTTCTCCTATTCATTTCCTGTGGGGAATTTGGCATCTTTGTTAACAAATTACGTCGCCATGGTAACTCGAAATGCCAATAAAAGTAATAGCACTTATCACGGGGTCGAGCCGGTCGTTTTGCTATAACTTTTGTGGGGGTAGACATTTTGGTTCGGGCCACATTAACGGAGATAGAAATGTAGACTCACTTCCGAGGTGTAGAATAATAGGTGCCTGCCATGCACGGCAGTCCCCAAAAAGACATTTCTTTTTAAGCTACTTTGCTTTAGCTCTAAATAGTTAACTCAGTGCATTCTAGACGTTTTGTTCTTGAAGAAACAGTTTTATTCTGAAATCTTTAGTAGTTTTTAACATAGAGGAGGCTCAGCACACTGTTATTAAAATGACAGCAGTTAAACTGTCTGTAGAAGTCGTGTAAAGTAAACTTCAGGGCGCAGTTTGGCAAAGCAGATTTGAAGTTCCACTCACGGTATCAGATGTGAGCAGCGTCAGTGTCAGACTGAAATTTCAGAACTCACAGACCATGTGACAAAACGTGAGCAAGACCCAAGAGGTCTTGCTCAGCAAACCAAGAGTTCAGGCCAACATCCTCCTTTGTTGTCTGCAACATAAAAAATAATCAGTTTTTTAAATATTTTTTTTTAAAATCTGAGATTTATAATAAGGTTTAGGTTTATTGTCATATGCAGATCACCACAAGGTCAACAATGCAATTTTCTTCCCTTTTCTCATCTAGGCAAAATATTATTCTGAATAAGAATAAGAAGGTCGTACTTTAGCAGCTTTGTGCACTCCGCCCATCTTTTGGACGACTGTACGTACACGTTCTCGTTGTATTTTGGTGCAATGATAATAAAGTTTATTCTGATTCTGAAATGCTCAGGACGAGAAGAACCGCCTCGACTCGCCAAAAAAACATGAAATACCAAAGCATGCAACAAAAATACAAAATCAAGGGGCCATAAGTGAAAAATATTACAGCAAAAACATATTACTAGAGCAGCATGGTCCTATTAGCTGAGTTCTGTTGGCAGTGAGGTTCTCGTAGCAAAATTAGCAGCATGGTACTGTTAGCAGAGGTTCTCTTAGCAACATGGTCCCGTTAGCACCGTGGTACTGTTAGCAGTGT